CTGCCTTTGTGGCTTTATGTGCTTTTTGGCTTTACCATTGTAGGTCCCTGGCTGAACCTCTGTGACTCCTGGGCTCCCGCATCTGATGTCTACTGAAACAAAAGGGTCTTTTCTCTGTGTTTTATTTTCTCAGTACTGGTCCTCTTTGAGAAGCTTTTGCAAGGTCACCATATCAAGAAATTGGAGACCAGTACATATGGAGAAATTTCCCCTGATGACATTTTTTCACAGCTCTGGACTAGCAGAAGGCATTAAATACCCATAACCATCTCCCAGTCTAGGCATTGTCTCTGCCACTTTGTGGGAAGAAGGCATATACCTTCTGAGCGGGGTGAGAACCGTGGATCATCTCAACATAATGCAACCATCTGCACAGATTTGCAAGAAGTGTTTTTTTTAATTTTTCTGGGTTTATCCAGTTTTGCTGGGTTTCCACAGGACAACAAACCCCCATACTTCTGACATTATCAAGGTGAAAAGATCAAGCCCTCTGTCTGATGCAGGATGGGCTCCTCAGCTACACACTATCTAGCACCTACCTCTTCAAGCCAGCTCTGACACTCACAGGATTTACAACTACCCATAGCAAAGTGCTATCCGTAGACACAGTACATTATTTTTAACCCCTCTTTTGGCATTTCCCCCATCTATTTAAGTAGGCATTTTGGCAGTTATCAAATAAAGCAGAAGGATTACTGTTTTAGACACATGCTTTAGAGATGACTAATACTTAACACATTAGTCTCGCAGCATTTTAGCTAACAGGTCTGCTTTGTTGTACTGAAAAAAACCCAACCCTATCTAATAAGTTTTCCTTCATAGAAAAAGCAAAAAGCAAAAAGAACTCTAACATACCAAGAAGCATACCAAGCATGCTGAGCTCAATTGAAGGTCAACCTCAACTCATTACTTTCAGGACCTGTCCAGTGTCTAAAATATAGCATTTAAACTGCTGATTATTATCATGCCTCAAATCTTAGCCAGGACATCCATGAAACAAAAGCTCAATTCTACCAGATCCTCTCCTTTGTGCCTAGGACACTGACTAACTGTAAGCTGTCACAGCATCAATGAAGAACAAAAGGGTGGAAAATGCACAACCCATGAGAAGCACAGAGAGAAGAACAACACTACACTACCTCAAGGCCCCAGATCCTCCTTCAGACTTTCCATACAAAAAGAGTGCAAGGGTGCTGTCACAGCCATGGTCATGGCTGCAGTGGGTCTTCTTCCTACCTGCCTTCAACCTCTTTTTACTCTATGCTCACAGCATAAGCACAGGAACCAACATTAGCCAGATCAGTGGCTCAAACACTGTAACCATTTACTGCCTACTCCCTCTCCAAGAGGAATGAGAGTGATGCGTGTGAAGAGGACAGCAGAGGGGTAGAGCAAATGTAGGTCAAATGCTGCTGCAGATGCTATCTCACCTGTTACTCAGACAGCAAGAAAATATCTGAAAATCAATACTGATGCTGCCAGGAAAAGGAAAAAAAATAGAAGATATGTATCCAGTTTGCAGTTTGGCACTGTCTGCCTCATGGGCCTCACTGGCTGTTTTTCCCACCTTGCTTTAGGCATCAGGAGCATGCTAGTGCTTTGTGCCTATCCCTGGTGTGCACAGTTTTAGTTCCTGATCCTTGTCTTACCCCCGAAAGCTTTTCAAAGACCCACTGAGCTTTCATCTGAGTTCTGGACACTTCCTGATTTCTCCCTTTGTCTACTCTGTGTTTCCACAGCTGCCCATGGATGATGGCCACTTGCTCTCAGGTTGTGCAGAAATCAGCTTCCCCTCTCCTTGCTCTTCTGCAAAAAATATGACCAAATCAAATAGAAATGAACTAGGGAAAAATGTAATTGCTACCAAGTTCATTAAATGAGTAGATGCATATTTTTAAATCAACATTTTGCACAGCATGTTTTAGTTTAAGATTAACTATGGGGTGGAGCCTGAGAAATGAGCTACCTCCCCTTTAGTTTTAACTGCTCACCTTTCACCAATAAGGAGAGACAAATGTGAGGTGTAAGTGAAAAAAATAACAGTTTACTAAAAAGCAAAATAGTCACAGCTTAGATAGCAGTAATGATCACAAGGTACAAAGGTACTGAACCCTGTGGACTCCCCAGGAACAAAGAAAACAAGATGCTGGAGAAGCCCCATCCAATATGGCAGCCTCCAAAGAAGACCATGTGGCCCAGAGTACAAAGACAAGACTGCAGAGAAACCCCACTTGGCTCAGCCTTCCCCCTGCAGTGTCAGTTCCCTGGGCCTGGCACTGCCTGGGGCAGCTGACCTCACCTGCAGTGCCAGCTCCTCTGCTTCCTTTTGGCTGGCCAGACCCAGTTGGTTTGGTCACTGCAGTTTCGAGTGCTGCTGCTTTGAGGGGAAAGAAAACCAACCTCACTGGGCACCGAAACCCACAGCCCTGGCCCCAAGGGCTCCAGCCAGTGCTGCAGCTGTGTGCAGGGAATTGTGAAATTCCCTCTGAAACAGTTTTGGATTGAAAAAAATGCAGTTTCTTGGAGACCTATGCCAGGCAACTTCCCTGGCATCTGAGCAAGAAACAAGAGAGAGGACTCTGTGTGCCTGCTCCCTGTCTCCTAAAAGGAATCCCTCGAACCTCCCACCCCCCCAGCCCCCCCCAGAACCTACCCCTCCAGAGTAAAACATTCTGGGTCCACTTCTGCCCCCCGGTCTTAAAGGAACATTAACACAAACTGCATGGATTGATGTCAAGGATAAATGGAATACAATCTATATTTTTTTGGGTTGCCCAGGACAAGCTGAAAAAAATACCTTAGACCACACACAAACCAAATTATGTCCAAAATGGATTGTACCAGTTAAATAGATGGTTTGATCTACTCAGGGTCTTTTGAAAATGGGAAGAGCATTGCCATATGCCCAATCCTAGTCAGATCTCAAGTGGTATGCATTTCAGCATTTTTTTGACAATGAAGCTTCAACCAAAATATCCCAGTCTGCTCCATGTGTTTAGATCAAATATTAATGTGTGCTTCAGTAATAGCAACACTGGCACATTTCTTACCAGTCCATTTTAGTAACAAGCTGAAGTTAGCACAAAAATATGCAAGAAGTTTCTCTCATAATATAGTTCTTTAAAACATACTAATTTATTTAAAATAATTACAGCCAAAAATTGGTAGGAGTGAATTTGTAATGAAATATTTTATGCACATGACTGACTGTGCAGCCACATGTTTATAAGAGCCAACATGTCTAGCAATGAGAATGTTTAGAAATTAAGGTGTGCTATTACTTTTTCCTCTTAAATTCTCAGTTGTCATAGGCTCAGTCTTACCTTCTCATCCAGTTCTGACACAACTAAATGTATTGTATGCACTCATGTGATACCAGCCACTGCTCTGCTGCTCCACGTTTTGCACTGAACTATAATCAAGCAGAGGACATCTCCTCTCTGGAGGAAGACTTCATTACACTCTTCACCATCCTCATGAGGGAAAGCAGAGAGGAGGTACTATTTCTTCTCTCATGATCAGTGACTGGACCCGAGGAAATGGCATGAAGTTGTGTCGGGGAAGTGTAGCTTGGATATTAGAAAAAGGCTCTTCATGGAGAGTGGCTGGGCACTGGAGCAGGCTCCCCAGGTAAGCAGTCACAGCACCAAGCCCAGCAGAGTTCAAGCATTGGACAATGCTCTCTGGCACATACTACGACTTGAGTATTCCAAGAGTACTCCAAGAGTTGGAGTCGATCCTTGTGAGTCCTTTCTAACTCAGAATATTCTGATTCTATAGTTTCACAGAGGCACTGAAAACCTTGGTGTCCCAAGGATTTTAAGTAAGCCCATTTCACATAGAAATAGAAGATTTGGTTCCTACCTATGAATATAATGAGCACAAGTCTCAGATATGAAGTGTATTTTATTGCATTATGGTTGCCACTGTAATTGTCAGAAGGGTCATTCTGCATGCTACTGTGATATTAACAAGGTCTCTATGAACAGGAAAGGATTTCCTGCACACCCTCATGATGCTGCAAAATAGTCAAAGAAAACTGCTAGACACCACTATTGTTAAGCTACTGTATATTCATTGGGAGGCTACAGAAATTACCAAATACACCACAGATTTCTTAGCCAACATTTTTGAAAGTCAATTGAGTTTTTAAAGCTATGAAAAGCTACAGAATAAAGTTAGCATAAAAATTCAATATTGGCTTCACATATAACAGAAGACTCAACTTTATAGCTTTTTACAAATTAAGGCATCTCTCTGTTCTGCAGACCTACCATACGTTGCATTTCACAAAATTGAGCAACACTACTGCCAGCATTAGGCTAACTTGGAGTGAACTACCATGGATAGCTTTGATCTTGCCAGAGCAGAGATTATCTTCAGCTTCTTGAAGAAATAGGGGATAAAAAGTGCCCTCAGGCACAGAAGTACGCTGAGCAGCTAGACCTAGGAATTTCAGGAATTTTACTCAAGTAGGCTAAACAAAACATTCTTCTATGATGCAAATGTAACACTCACTTGGGATGACTCTCTCAAGATACACCCAAATCCTGTAATACATGATGCAAGCTATATTCCCTGCAGGCTGAGGAAGCACACTTTGGTTCTCCTTGAGTGTGCCAAAAGAAAATTATGTAGAATTCATTTTTATTTTATTAAAACTCATGTAGGTTGTCCTTTTTTTTTGATTTGGGGTTTTGTTTGTTTTGGGTTTTTAGTTATTTCTGTTGTTTGTTAGTTTTTTAATTCTCACTATCCATTTTTATAGTAATTTTGGACCAAGCTCACTTGTCATTTTGGAACCAACTTACTTTGGTTTGTTGCCCATTTTCAGTTAGTCTTGTAGCATCTAAGCAAATTACCCATGGATAGAAGGTAGCACATACATAGCCTCAGCTTCTTTAAAGTGGCTTTTTACCAGAGTAATTTGGTTTAATGTACAATTTTCTTCATGCACACAAACCAATCTTATAGAGTACTTAGGTTTAACTGCTTGACAATTGGCACAGGCTATAGCAATGTTTATTACTAATACAATTATCAATTTACACTGCACAAGTATTTTAAAAAATGGAAGTTTATTCATCTTTCAATGGCTCAAATAGCACATAAAAGGACAGGATAAGGCATCAGCCAAGACAAGTTTTGTGTGTCCAGTGGCTTCATAACACCTCAGTTCCCAGTATACAGGTTCCAAAGCAAAGTCACAATGTTAGTGGTTAGACTCCCTGGCTTAAATAGACCCAAATGAGTACACAGTAAGATGAAGACTGGCTTATATTTGCCAGTTACATGAGTAACTTTTATTCTGCACTTGGCAGTCTACTAAATGTACATACAAAATTCCTACTGATAAATACTGAACATGACAAACATAACTCCTAAGACTTGAGTCCCTAAAACATCTGTTACCATTAGAGTTAAATATTTGTTACCTAGTTTTGTTGAGCACATTTTAAACTGTCAGTTATAGGCTTATACATGTATAAAAAGTATAACAGTTTGTGGAATTGATCTAGCCTGTCTCACCCCAGAGGAGTCCAAAATCCTCAAACATTCTGGTATGTTTTTAGTTAAGATGCAGCACACTAAACATGTGCTAGTATTCTTCTTGTTCTGAAGCAACTGAGGCAGTATGTTTTGTTTGGGGATTTTGGATGTGCATGTTAAAGGTTTCTGTATTGCAAAGCATATTTGATTGTTTGATATCAACATTAACTAGAAAAAGTAGCTACACTGTTCCCCATTTGAAAATTAACATAGACTAAACAGTACAAAACCTGCAAAGAGCTTCAGCATAACACACCATGTTCCAATAGCTAAGTATTGGGAACATAAAAGAAATTAACCAGAATTTCCCAGACAACATCTTAACTCAAAACACGTAAGCGCTACTAGATCAGCCCCGCTACACCCAATTCCAGGGAGTTAAAACCCAAGGAACATCTAGACAAAAATCTATGTGCAAAAGGGAAGTTTCAAGGTACCAGCCAGTTAAATTTTAAACAACTATTCCAGGCTTTTATGTGCCATAGGCTTATGACTTCAGTCTTATGTGTATTCTGATGTTTTAGTTTTAAGATACCATATTGTCTACCAAGTTAGAGATGACAGAATATGCTCTGTATTATTCACATTACCAGAGTATGGCACACATTTAAAGAACAGACACTGCTAGCAGACAGCTAGTGAGTGAAATCATCCAAGTAACTGCACTCCACAGAGGGCAGTCTTGCACTGATGCACAGGGACAGTCTCCATGCAACAGAGTTGAAAACACACCCTTGATTAAGCAACCTGCTATGTTTGGGTTTTAAAATTAAGGCATATTCAAATGTTTCAATGTAAAAGATTACATCGCTCTTCTAAGTTAATCAGGTAATGCAGAACCACATATAGTTTTCCTCAACATAGCTGTTCATATACATTATTCTTTTTTAATTTGCATAACTCCATAGCAAAACAGTTGCATACTGCTTTGTTAGGTATCATGTTCACAATTGTAATTTTCAAGGCAACAAAAGACAAGATGAATTGACAAATACCAGTGATAAAAAAGTATGCTGTATAAGAACCCACAAAGTAATACTTTGCCCCTCTTATTCACTATTAAAGAAAAGACTACCTATGAAACACTACATTCAGAAGAAATGTGAGAAGGTAGGCAATTATGAAATGGACTGAACTTTGCTTCTCTTGAAGCCACATAATTTGTTTTCAGTGAATTTGACTTTCAGTGCCGCTCCAAATCATGCTTTTAGTGGTACATTACATTTTCCAACATGTTAGGGTAATTTCAGTCACTTCAGCCTTCAATGGCATGCTTATAAATTATGGTTTTTATTAGTGTGGTCAGGGTAGGAAAGGAATCCAAGCTTTTGATTATAAAATGCAACATCTTTCTCTGATCCTCTTAGCTAGGCTTTTTCTTTTCTTCTTCCCATTTTTTTCTTTGCTGTCTTCCATTTTTCTGGCTCTAATTTCTCTCATTAAATCAAAAAACACCTGAAAAAGACATAAAAAAATAAATGCAAAAACAAATCACAGACATGAGTTAATTTAAGCTATCACTGACATCCACTTCCGTTATTTCAAATAGAATCAATTACATGCAATCAGTTTGAGCAAACAAATATTAATCCAACAAATCTGTCACTGGTTTTGAAGGCCAAGCTGAAATTATGCAATCCTGCTCGTTTCACGGCACTATAATGTTCCCCTGTCTTCTGACATTCGTTTATGAATCCTGTCAGGCAATTTTAAACAAGAGCTGAAAGAAGGGTCTCATCACCAGCCAAGATTTTCAGATGTTGTATGTACATACTGCTGAGGAAACTTAAGGAAATCAGTTTACTTTTTGAATATTTTAAGTGATGAGCTGCAAAAGTTGAAAAAGTGCAACATCCAATTTTAGAAATTTATTAATGGAACAGTAGCATAGACTGAAATGCACGTATGGTATGTTCCATGTTGCAAGTCTAAGCATAAAGTGACTTGAGAAAAAAAACAAACCTAGCATCTCCTTTAAAGCAAAGTCTTCAATCATACAACTACATAAACAATTTCTTACATGAGGTAATCTTGGCTGCAGCTGCCCTATTACAATCTTAAAGTACACGTGAAGTTCACTTTCATCAAATGGTTTAGGACAAAGTTGGAGATGCACCACTGACTTAGGTAAGAGAGATCCTACTGACAGTTAAGGCTTTATGATTGGATTGCTTAAAGCTACTTTACTAATTTCAAGAGCAGATCTTGATTTACAGACGGTTACAGCAAGCAGTATGTATAAATCTTTGTAATTTTACTGTAGGAAATCAGCTAAGGAATTCTAAAACTTTTCTCCCAGGAGAGAGTCTTTAGATACTATATCACCCTGAGAATGTCAAATCTCATCTGATCTTGGAAGCTATACAGGATCAGGCCTGGTTAGTACTTGAATGGGTGACTACCTGGGAATACCAGGTGCTCTAGGCTTCTCTTTTCAGCCCTGAGATGAGCTCAGTTGTTCAGAGCAGGATGTTAATAACTCCAAGGTCACGGGTTTGATCCCTACATGGATCATTCACCTAAGAGCTGGACTCAATGATCCTTGTGGGTCCCTTCCAACTCAGAATATTCTGTGATACTTTGAAATTTGAACTAAGCAATACATCTACATCATGGGATTTGATCCATTTCTGCAAAACATGGACAGCGCAGGGGCTGAAAAGCTCCTCTACAGAGTTCAGTAGGTTTTTATTACACTAATCTCATACTGACTGTGGGGAAAGTATCAACCTTCATCACATCAAAACCAATGAAAGTCAATGGAACTAAACGTTTCCATCAAGAAATGAGATTGCCTTTAGATTTTTAAATGTGTGCTAAGTTGCTTGTATTTAAATTTGTGTTAATGGCAAGATGCAACTGTCAGCTTGCTTAAATACTGATAAACATACAACAGTATTTAACTGCATGGGATACATAACCTTCTGAGAAAATATTTAATGGGTCACTTTTGCCAAAATGAGTGGAGGCTGGCTGTGTTTTTTCAAGTGAGTAAAATCACTATTCTGGAATGCAGAGAGACCAGATTACAATAGTTTGTGTAGCAAACTCCAAAACTTAATATCCTCAAGCAACTAAGAATATACAGTATTCACTTGTGCCAACAAGGTCTCATTGATGGCCTGTCAAACCATAAATCTATACAACACATACTAATCTGGATCTGTTATGCCATCAGCTCCATTGTATGTGCAAAGGCTATTGATCCAAGAGCTATTGAAAAAATATATTATATGCACTTTTTTCCCCTGCTGCTAAACAAAAGGAAGAGTTGGATTTTTACAACTGTAATAGATGGCTGTTAACTGCAGTTATATACCAAAACAAAAAGATGTGTTAGTTTTTATAACAACAGAAAGTCAGGGCTTTATTCAACAATGAGGATGAATTCTGCTGTACTCGATTAAGAACTTTTTGCTGCTCTGTAGGGTAAATTACTATAGTACTGAACAATCAGTTTCTTCAGTAAGATAACTGGCAGGACACAAACAGTTGAGTTTAAGTTATTGCAAAAGAGAATTTGCATTACAGCTTTCATGCTGCAAGTGACTGCTCATATATATGGATTTTCATTAGAGAATTTTTCACCAAATGCAAGATGTAGCATCTGGATCATCCCAGACATCAGTACAGACTGGGAGATGAACTTATTGAGAGCAACCCTATAGACAAGGACTTACAGGCTTTCAAGGATGAAAAGCTGGACCTAGCAATGTGAACTCATAGACCAGAAGGCCAGTGGTATCTTGGGCTGCAGCAAAAAAGGACTGGCCAATAGGTCAAGGTAGGCAATTGTCCCCTTCTACTCTGCTGTCATGAGACCCCACCTGCAGTGCTGTGCCCAGGTCTGGGGTCCTCAGCACAAGAAAAAACATGGACCTGTTGGAGTGGGTCCAGAGGAGGCCACAAAGATGCTCAGTGGGCTGGAGTAGCTCCACTATGAAGACAAGCTAAGAAAGCTGGTGTTGTTCATACTGAAGAAGAGAATGCTCCAGGGAGACCTTATTGCACTGTTTCAGTTCTTAAACAAGGCGTACAAAAAAAAAAAGACAGAAAGCATTTTTTTTATGTGGGCAGCTTGTGCTAAGATCCTTGCAGGAACAATTCTAAGAGGGAAGACATTTAAATGATTAATTGTAAAAAAAAATTCTTTACTGTGAAGGCAGTGAGGCACTGGAATGGGTTATCCAGAGAAGTCATGGATGCCCTAACTCTGGAAGTGTTCAAGGCCTGGTTGGATGGGGCCCTGAGCAACCCAATCAAATGGTTGGGTATCCCTGCCCATGGCAGGGCAGTTGGAACTAGATGATCTTTAAGGTTCCTTCCAACACAAACCTGTAATTCAATGTGGGATCAACTGTGTCAACAGCTCTGAAAGGCTGGCACATTGCACTAAATATATTTGTTTCTTTTTCTGCACAACTGTGACTCTTACAGTCTACAAGGCTGACAGTTATTCTGAATAGCAAAACCTCACATTCTTGCTGAAGCACTTACAACTAAACAGCATTTCATTTTCTTGAAGACAAATATTCTCTTTAATTTATGAGGTTCTGAACCAGGTTTTATCTCTGAAAACTCATGAGGCACTTTTGGGCTTTTCATAGCTTTTTGGATTCATCCATTCTTCATCAAAACAACATACAAAGTGGCAGATGGTTAAATGAGGGTAGAGAAGGCTCAAATCCCTCCCTTATTTGCTTTTATAATGAGGATCAGAAAGTATTCTTCACTGTTCAGAAGCAGACTCTCCTCTAGTTACAGAAAATGCAGTATGAAGTATAGGCCAAAAAAGCTGACCCAAGAAAATTTTATAAGGTCTTGTATCATGTCTTGGATAATAATGGTTCCTTGTAGTTTAGGACGGGATAAACATGTTATGCCTAACATTTTCACTGTTCTACAAGGAGTCACCTAGTCATGCACTCCTGGCAAGCTAAGGAAGAAGAGTGTTTGATTAAAATGCCACAAAATTATTAACAGCTAAAATTAAGAACATAAGGAATATGACCCATGAAAAAGAGGGATAAAGTAAAAACTGATGGACAGATTGTTTAAGAGGCCAGTTATTACCTTGTCAACATTAGCTCGTGTTTTTGCAGAAGTTTCCACATAATTAACATTCCACTGATCAGCTCTGTTTTTTGCTTCCTCTACAGAAACTTGCCTTTTATCTTCCAAATCTGATTTATTACCAACTAGCAAAAAAGGAACATTCTCATCTTCTTTTACTCTTAAGATTTGCTCCCTGGAGAAGAAAAAAAAAAAGAAGAAAAAAAAAGAAGAAAATTACGCTTTGCATAGAGAACCATTCTTGGAATACAAAAAGAACTCGGACTAAATAATTTCACATCCTACAGTGAAAAGCCACTTATTCCTATTATGTAGTTTATATAACACGAAACCTCATTACGATATTATACAGAATGAAGACAGACTAGTCCTCGAGGAAGGAAGGAGCTGAGTCAGTAAAAAATGAAAAAATAGAACAGGACTGGTGAAAATTTATATTTAGGTGAGAATTTACATTAATAATTAATTTCCTGTAACAGTGTTATCTGAGAGCATTTATCATTGTTTTTACATTACTCTTTTTGATGGTTATTTTTAAGCTACCCAAGCTTCTGATTAACAGCTCATTCTTTCCTAACAAAATGTGCCATTTTAAAGCTGATAGAATGGTCCATAGCATATCAAGAGAAAATCTGTTTCTTTCAAGAATCTTTATCAAGTCAGTTATATTCAGTTTCTCCAGAGATCTTCATTTACATACATATCTGAGTACAGACTCAAGCTGTATATGCATCAGATTTTTAAGGACAGACACTTCTACTGTTTTAACTGCTAGGATGAAAGGTTTAAAACTATAAATACAACTTAATACTACAAATAGTTTAGTACTCAAGACTTCAACACTTCAAAATATTGAAAGTTTTCTTCTAATTGAAAATGCATTAATACTATCAGGAAGAGCTGTCTCAGAAGAATATTCTGTATTTTGTCTATGAAAAAAGGAGTATAAAGTTAGTTGTGAAATGTAGCCCTTTATCACAGAGCAATTCCTGAAAGACTGACAAAAAGCACAGAGAAATAAATTTCTTTTTATGGCTGAGGTGAGACCAAATTTAAAGTTGAAGGGAGAGAAGCTGAAGACAGTTAAGAAATCAGTATTCTAAAGGGCCTTGATTTGGTATATGGCAGGATGCTCACATTACAAAAAGCTCTGAATAGCATGCAGTCTTGTGGAGGAAGTCTACTCAGAGCTGAGAAACTGCAAATAGTCCATATTTTTTTTTAACTGTGCATTTGAGGCAGACTGTGACACCACATTTACGTATGAGGTATAATTAAAAAGCAACATTTCTCATCTTCCACACAAATACCAGTGCAAATGTTTTAACAGAGTCTGCAGCTATCTAAAAGTAGTTTGAATAGCATCAGAGCTGGGATTCCTCTACAGTCCATAGGGGACACCCATGCTGGAGTATAATCCTGGCAAGGATCTGTGGGCCCCTGGAGAGAGGGATCCATGCTAAAGTAGGTTTACTGGCAGTAATGAGTTATTTAAATGTTTTCTCTTTCAACTGAAATTAAACACCTGTAATACACTCCTAACTTGTATAAAATTCTATTACTATCATAAGGGTTCTCATATCATGCAGTCTTGTGTTTGAGACCATGGTGAGGCAGATGTCTTCTGAATGTTATTGTGTATCTGCTCTGTGGCAATAGCCTTTCTGGTACTTGGAAACACAGCAGCTAAGGCATCTAAGTTCTACAGACAGCAAAGGCCTGGCTAGGCATCTATTCAAAATATGCTACAACAGTAAGAGCTGTCTATCCAGTCTGGACCACCAAAAGGATATTACAAAACACACACACAAAAAAATCACTTTCAATCATCTCAATGTAATTAAAATTATTATCCTGCCTTGTAACTTACCTGAAGTCTGCAGTCGCTGCAAAGGATTCCAGCTCTGTAATAGAGAAGACGCAAAGAAAACCTTCTCCACTTCGAAAGTAGTTGTCTCTAATTGCAGCATAGTCCTCCTGCCCTGCTGTATCCAATATATCAATTTGGACTTCTTCCCCATCCAGAACCACCTTTTTCCTGTAGCTATCTGCTTTGGTGGGCTCATAGTCTTCAACAAACTAGAAAAAAAATCCTTCATGATGTAAAATCATGCCGTTACAAGACAATTGCTTCTGTTTGCACATCAGGATATAGCAAACATTAAATGGGTATTGTAACTAATAACTAAACATTGTGCATTTAGGCCCTGTGAAGTAATCAAACAACTTGTAGTTAAAGCACACTTCATCAGCCCAGTTTTTAGGTTTTTGCTTTCCTCAGCCATTATAAGGAAATGTAGAGGTAATTTCAAAACATCAGTGTGTGCACTACGCAAACTTCTGGCTTACACACATCTGTCTGTATTCCACTATGAAGTCAGGTAGTCTTGACTTTAGATATATTTAGTGTCTACTTTTAAAGTACACTGAATGCTTAGCTTCTGACTTAATAAAAGGGATGACTTTCACTGGAAAAAAAGGAAAAAAGAAACTGATTTTCTTTCCTGTCCTCAACACCAGCACAAAAAACATGGAAGAAATTGGCTGTTTCAGGTGTCATGCAACTCAACAAAGTGAAGAAGCTTTGAGCTATAATGACCAAGTTCTAAGTCTAGTGAGCAATGCAAAAATATTCCAGTATTATAACAGAGTATCTAAGAGCTGAGAGGTCTGAAAAAGGCAAAATTTTACCTTCACAGGTACCTTTAGAGAGCAAATCAGTAATCACAAAACATGTTTTTGTTACACTTAACTGCTGAATTTCATACCACATCACATACATTTAGACCTTTTCAGAAAATAATTCTACAAATGTAACTTAAACAACACTATGTAGCAGGCACCTCCTGAGATAATTTCTATGACAGGCTCTTACCTCATCATACATAAACTGTAGTGTTAAAGCAGATTTTCCTACACCACCACTTCCCACCATGATGACTTTATGTAAAGCCAGTGAATTCTGTCCTTTAGGTTTATTTGCTGCCATCTTTGGATTGCAGAAAATTCACAGGTGTCAAATGGAAGAATCTAGAAGAAAAATATTTCTTCATTAGTTTTCTTTTCCTTCTCCCACATGAACTGATAAATTGGATTTTTTTTGAAATTCCTACATATTTAATGACTTAGCTTTCACTAAAGCAGAACTGGAATTATCTGCTCTTTCACTGGAAACCATTCCACAAGTTATACTGAGCTCATCTCTTTTTTTTTTTTTTTTTAAATTAAGCAAAGAAATCCTTTACCATTTGGAAGAAGCATTTTAGTATGTAGTATTTTCATTTAGTGGCACAGTAGGTGTCAAGAATTCTTGATAGTTTTCTACACAAGAATTGAAAAAGGAAGCCACAGTGAGTCAACACCATATAAGAAAACATGATATGACAGCTGGAGGGGAAGGAAACAGACTTTTGAAGGGATTTCCAGCTTAAATGGCAAGCACTAAGACACAGAAGCAAGGATTAGCTAGAGTACTTTTACAGGAAAAGCAAGCAAACTTGAGATCTAAAAATACCCAGTTTCAGTAAGTCAGAAAGCAAAATAACAATCTAGTTTATACAGAGTGGAAACATTCAACTTGCCTACAAATGTAATTATTTGGTATATTTGGAACAGTTGTCGCAGTCCTGTGACTGCTTCTTTAAACACAAATCTTTGCATCTCACCAACACCAAAGGGCTCTATGACAGCTAATTCATAGTTTAACGTATGTGTGCACAAGCACAAAAAGTAGAAATTCCATTAACTTTTTAAAAAATCATGGATGCTATAGTTGTAGTGGATCTCTATTTTCCTACACTTTTGTTTCATTCTCTACCTATCCCAATAATAATAAAACTGTATTTGTGAATGCTTGCACAGTTTTTAAAACACAGGGAAGTCCCTGTACAGTGACAGAATGTGCTCTCCTCCAGAGACTTCAGGTCAAAACAAGGTATGAACTCCAAAAGAGACAGTGACATCTACATTACATATATAAATACAAGAAAATATTATGGTAGCAATTGAAAACCAAATGTAACTTTCATTTTTAAAATTAAAAACTCAAAAGGAGCACATTCACATGGCTCAGTTATATATATATATATACCAGAGAATAACACAGCAACTTATCATGATTACCTTGTTACCTTTAACCATCATGATTATTCGACAACATCACACTAAAATTACATCCTACTTCATAATGAATTACCCTTCTGCGTAGCTTAAGCAACCAGAATGTGAACCATGACAACTTTCTTAAAAATTGAATCAAAAACCCTAGTTGAGGCCATGCACTAAGGCTTTGCTAGCAGTGATGCAGGTAGTATAAACGCATGATGACTACAGCTTCATTGGAGATTAAGGCAATCCTTCCTGGAATCAAAATACATGGCATCAAGGTTCTCATACTGCCATGCCAGCAAGCAGGCTGGGGATGAGCAAGCAGCTGAGCCACCTGACCAAAGGGATATTACCATGCCATAGCCTAGCAGTAAAAGTTGGCAGAGAGGTTTGAAGTTTGTCAGCACTGCTGTTGCTCAGGAACTGCTGGGTATTGGTCAGCTAGCAGTGAGCTAATTTTCTTTTAATAACTTTTCTTTGGTTTGTTTTCCTTTTTAAAAAATATTTATTAGGTTACCATTATCTCAACCCACAAATGTTCTTATTTTTACCCTTACAATTCTCTCCCCTCTCCCACCAGTGGCAGGGGGAGTGAGCAAGCAGTGGGACTTACCTGCCTACCAAGCTAAACCCACAAACTATGTGAAAAACTCTTGAGATCACATCAGCACAGCTACTTCTGAAAATGCAACTGAAAAGTAAGTAAAATTATTTTCCCTGGAAATATTATCTAAGCAAAATAAGCATAAGGTGCTATACCCAGTACAGAGATATAGCAGAGAAATACAACTAATATAATGCTACAAGTTATTTTAAAAAGGAGATGGAAAACAGCAAACATTTCTATTTTGGCTTAAAAAGAACCATTTCTTTCTTTTTACTCAAGAGGGAGTAAAAGAACATGAAAATAATTCCAAGCCATGTGCATACTTTCAACCTACTACATTGTTTTGTCTTTGCACACTTTTCTCTTAAAAGGAAAAACACATCCTGAAAATCATACTTCTTAGTATGTATGTCAGAAGCAAGAAAGAAAATTCATCTGAACTCCACTATCAACTGACAACAGCTCAGTTTGCAAATGTTAGGTTACAATATCCACCTGGATCTGACCTACTTTAAGCTTACTGAGCAAGATAACAGACTATTCTTCTCTAAGTACTCCAATATTGGAACAAGTCCAAATGAACCCAGCAGGACCTCACTCAGGTGAGTTTGGGCTAACAATATTACAGTCTGAAAAAAATCAAATGCACAGTAGCAATATTTCACTGTAATATTTGTTGTAAATCAATCTCCAGTCTTCAAGTAGATTGAGCAGTGTGAAAATTCGTATCTTAGTTCAACTTACAATTCAACAAGTAGTGTTCCAGTGTGACAAACAAGTTGCCACTTTTTGTACTCTCTGCAGCAGCTGACCTATAAAAAACCCAAAACATTTCCATTTCCAACTTGATCCTGAAAAGTAACTGTCAGTAAACAACATTCCACTAAGATACTGAAAATAGCAAAAACTTGACACTAACACAGACTTCAAATCTTCAAGATAAGCTTGTCATAAACACTATGCCACATTCTGGAGTAGGAGGGTCACTCAGGGATGTCAGTTTACTCCCAAGTTCTTCACAAGCCAATCAAGATATAATGCTGGCAAAAACTCAGATCTGCTGAGTAGTAGCCAATGTGGAAAGAGAGAGAAATAAGTTACAAACAATGCAAGTACAATACAATATGATACTGTGCAGACAACACTTAATCCAAAGAGACTGTTTCAGAGCAAATATTGTGCTAGAGAGAAGAAAGACCTTGAAAGTGATAAGTTCTAAGCTATTGGCATGATTGTACCTGTTTCAGTGCGCTTTGAAAAACAAAGAAGAACCTAGATTCCAATTTTAACAGTAAAGCACCTGAGATGAAGTTTCATTCAAAGTCTTTCTGCCTGTAATTTATGTAGCCTGACTTATTTTCATAAGTAGTATTAGTTTGGGTCATATCTAGTTACTCAACTGTCCTACTTTATAATTATGATAAAACAGAGACTATGGCAAGAACCCTGTTGTATGAAGCTCAGAAAAGCATACTTCCTTATTAAGCATACCATGAGGTTTATTATTACTTTAATTTTCACAGTTCAAAATTACTTGCAGGTCAGAAGATAAACACAGGGTTATGCTACAGTCAAATCCTACACCACCTACGGAAGAGCAATGTTCACAAAGAGCCAAGCACGGTGTCCTCAATAGCTATATTATCAATTTATACTAGTCAGTTTTTTACCACAACCATTGGAAATCCCATCACATCAATTCAGATGGCAATATATACAAAAATTTATTCTTCAGTGAATAAACAGTTTTATTCTTCATGAACTGTTCTTTATGTAGTTCAACAAATTGGAAGGGAAGCAAAAGCTCAAATGGCTCAGCAATGTACTGCAGTGTTTTTATTCAGAAGGGCAAAAACACTGTCTAGCCACCATGCTATGGTGGATCAGTCCTCATTTCCACTGCAGATAAAGGCCTAAGAAGCTGCCCTTTTTCAACATATTTGAGTAAATAAAGACACAAACAAATGAATCTGACTGCTCAAAGTAAGCAATTCTCAAAGCTCCTAGAGGTGTTTTATTGCCTGCTTGCAGATAAACACACCCATGATTCTCTGTTCCATTTAATGGCAGACTTCCAGTTGGAGATGGGATTTTTTTTTTTTTGAGCCAGGCTAGCAAGCAATTACATTAACAAAGAATATCAGGGGTAGGAATTATAATTCATGTTAGCATCAGTGTCTTGTCCAACAGTCTAGAAATCTGATCAAAGGAAAGAAGAGTAGGTAGCTAAATAACTTTTATTTTTACATTATTAAGATAATCAAGGAACTTCCATCTGAAGTTGTAAAGCTATTCTTTGCCTTGAGTGATTGGCTTCTACCTGTATCAATACTACTCAGGAGTTTTTATACATTACAGCCTGCACAGGTCCTCTGCGCAAAAAATGCAATGTTACCTTTAGTTCCCCATGGATTTACACACAACATGCAGCTCCACCCACTAGAGGAGTGAGCTGAACAGTGTAACACAACTTGGACATAGTATCATGTTCACTTCTGCATAAAGTCTTGAAACACAGAATGGTCACCTCCAGATCCAGAAGAGTAAACTAGATAATCAGGCACCAGCAAAAAAGTAGTTTTGATCTCCAGGGATAATATTTTCAGGGAGAAATATTTGCAAATACAAGTTAGGAAAGAAAAAAACAAAAAGCAGGAATCCTTGCTCTCTCTTTATTAGTCTTTATTTTGTCCTCCTATTTACTATTTCAGCCAAATAAATTGAGATAAAAATATACTTATGGGCAAAAAAAACCTTATGGGTTATATCCCTCACTAATCTCAACTGAGATGACTCATCTTAAGATGTCCTGTTCCTCAGTTGGCTTTTTCTAACAGAATAAGTTGCTCCAAACCAATCAAAGCATGTTTCTGTACATATCCATTCCATTTGTCCTCTGCATCCCTCCCCAGTGCAATAATCCCAAGGTTCATACACTAAGGGAGAGCAAAAAAGTGGCCAACAGAACAGCTGTGTACCATCCAAAGAGGGCAATAGACACCCAATTTAGATTGCTTCCTTTCCTTCACAGGGAACATAATTCCCCTTATTTAGCCAGCACCAAATACTGAAGAAATTAATAGAAACAATCATATCCAAGACACCTACATCTCTATCAAAATGTACCAAAAACTGGCCAAGAGGCCAAAAACTAACAAAGAACAGAGCATATGATCAGTCTCTTTGTCTCCCACACAGTGACCAAAAGAAGTCAAGAACTATTCCATCCATTTTAATTCCTCGGAGTCTCGTAAATGCAAGGTAAATTTGAGGACAGACCAGGAAAAGAAAAGCATTACACCAAAGTCACATCATT